GTAGCCCTAGTCATGGCAGGCACCACAGAAGTGTCACACAAACCAAGCACAGGTCACACTGAGGAGTCTTTATTCTTCTGGGGCACACAGGGCTGGGGCCTTAGAACATCTTGCATGCAGGGCTGCAGCTGCCAATGGAGGGGCCAAGACCAGAACAAGAACGAAGCCTGGTGTGCTTGGGCAAGGTCAGGAAAATACCCAGTGGAGTGAGAAGGTGCTAGAACCTCCAGCCTCCACTCAGCCCTGGGGCAGACAGCAAACAGGCTGGGCCCACTCTCCCCTTTATCCACCATCCTAGCATTTGGACACAAAAACCCAGGCAAAGGTGGGTGGCAGGCACAGCCAAGTTGGGAAGGTGACCAGATGCCAGGAAGATGAGCTCCACCCAGCTCAATGCTGCCCTCCCAGCCAGGCTGGGCAGTGGTTGACTGGTGGGGACCCCACCTGGTCACAGGGCTGCCTTCCCCACCTGGCAGCCCCTCTGCTGCAGCTTCCGGATTAGTTCCAGCAGGTTCATCTGCAGCGTCAGCTCCTGGGGTACACAGGGGGTCCCCTGTGAGGGCCAGAATACCACTGGGCCCCTTTGGTCCCAGCAAAGGCATCAGAGGCTGCCTTTTCCCAAGGACTCAGAAAGAGGGACTTAGGGCCTAGAGGGTGCCAGCAAGTGAGACGACTGGGCTGACTTCTGGGTTAAAGGGCAGAACCTAGGCTACACCCTACAACAGGGCCCAAAGTTGCCCTGGGCTCAGTGCAAACGGAAGTACATGCTGAAGAGGAGTAGAGGGCTGGGCCCAGGCTTGGTGGGAACGCCCCTGTGGCCAGCTGGCTCACCTTCCTGGGGGCAGAGCCCCTTCCTGGAGCCTCATTTTAATCCCTCCCTCCCCACACACACAAACCCTGGGCTTGGATCCTCAGCAACCAGCAGAAAGCCCCAGATGAAATTGGGCCTTTGGGACCAGCGTCACCTGGTCAGGCCAGGGCGCTGACCTGTGGGTTGGTGGTGACGTAGAAGCCGGTGACACCCGCCTTCTCCAGCGTGCTCTGCTGGTCTGCCACCTTCCGGTCCAGCTCCAGGACGATCTTCTCATCCATTGTTCGCTGCTCCTCACGGATCCGATGTTCCACTGCCTGCCACGGCGAGGGCACCTGAGGGCAGCTCTGAGGTACTCAGCCCCCTAACCACCAGTGCCGCCAACACTCGCTGCTGGCCTGCTACCTTCTTCCCCAGCCCTCTGGCCTCACTCCCTGGCTGTACCAGCCCTGAGACCACCAATGGTGGCCTTACCACCCCCAGGTCTCTTCCTTAGCCACACTAAACGATGCAGAAGGGGTAGGCAGTGGCCCGCCCTCCCCACATTCTCATCTTCCCTTTAGGAGGCTTCTGCCAGGTGTCCTCCTGGTGCTGACCCACTGGCTCGTGACCCTTATGGGCTGGGCCACCTTCTCTGGGCTTCCCTGAACTCCCTGGCTTCCCTGCACACATCTCTGTGGGCCACCTTCTCTCCTCCCCCGCTCAGTTATATGCCAGTCCCCAGGTTGACCTGGAGCTCCCCAGAAGCAGGGAGCTGTGTGACCTCAGGGCCTGGTACTGGTCAGATGGAAACAGAACCGGAAGTCGGCAGGGGTGCATAGACCCCTGCCTGACTGGCCCTGTCACCACCCTACTCTTGCCCTTGCACCCCCAAGGCCACAGGGAATGTGGGCATGGAGGAGGTCTGGGCCTGCTGCATGATGCCCTCACCTTAATACTTGCTCTGCCACGTGCTCTGTGCAAGGCCTCAGCCCAACAGGAGCCACTGTCTTGGGGAGCAGGGAAATAACAGACAGGCCCTCCTTTCCACCCTGTCCCATGCTCCCACCCCACATGGGATCTTGAATGCTGTACCCCACAGCAAAGAGCCATGGACTCACCAGCCTCCAGCTGTCTGCCCCAGGACACATCCAGTGCAGGCGCCCAGGTCTGAAGCTACCCTAAGTCCCTCCACCACGGACCAGTCAGCAGAGCCCACATGGTGCCCATGGGAAGGGGCCAGGCCCCAACCACTCCACCTGCACCCCTTACCTCCAGCTCGCGCTGCTGAGCCGCCTGGAGCACGGGCAGGTTATGGGGCCGGCAGGCCTGCTGGGCTTCCTCGTGCTTCTGCCGCAGCGCCTGTCTGAGCACTGGGGAGGGATAGGAGGGTGCCTCAGCAGGCAACGGGGGTAGAGGCAGGCCCAGTGCATGCCTCACTGCTCAGTGTCCACCCACGCTGTCCAGGCCGCAGCATCCCACCACAGAGCAGCCAGGCCAGACGGGAAGATAGGAAGCACGGTGGGAAGTAGGTGGGCACTCCCTGCACCGGAAAGCTGGCTGGAGCTCTGGCTCACACCGGCCCTCTAGACCACCCTCAACTAGGGCAGGGCCCTTTCCCAGAGGGGCAGAGGAGACTACCGGGGAGTGAGGAAGGGCCAGCAGCTATAGCAGAGGCTCAGAAGACCGAGGGGGTGGGAGGAAGCAGGCTGGGAGGGAGGCTGCAGTCTGGAGTCTTCTGGGTTCAGATGGCCACAGGCCAGCAGTCCCATCATTCATGGGTACCCACAGAGATGCCCAGAGACCACCACCCCAGGCAAAAACCTGGAAGAGGAGGAGGAAAGAGGGGTCACCATATAGTATATACAACATGCAGAGTGGAGGACAGCTGCCGCCCACTAAGGGGTGTGGTCGTGTTGCCCTTCAGGAGGGGCAGAGTCAACTCCACCCCCTCCACAGCAACCAGCCCCCTCACAGCAGCCAAAGCAGAAGGTGGGCATGGACCCTGGGTGGCCCAAGGATGGGTGCTGGAGAACCCACCACCTAACACTGTGTGTGCATGCCAGGCCTGCTGGGATCCTGACTGCACACCTGGGTGGCAAGATCAACAGTCACAGGAAAAGCAAACCTCTGATAAATTCATCACTCAAATGAAGATGATGTAGCCTCAGTAATCAAAGACGGAGATGCCACTCTAGATGACAAGGGGATTCACCAAAATAAAAATGATGGCAAGAAAACCCCAAGGCAAGAGCAGATGGAAGCCTGGGGTCCTACGAGCCAAGAGAGGCTCAGTGCTGGGGAGTCTGTGTTGCTCAGAGAGGGGTTTACCGGGTCTCTGCTAAACTGTGTCAGACACAGACTTCTGCAGAGTTGTCCAGTGTGACAGGGATGGACAGAGGAGAAAGGTATCATGGGATGAAGAGCAACCACCAAGAAAACAATATGGAAGATCACACGCCAGAGCCCCAGACCCATAAGTGTCAAATGGCTAAATCTCTCTGGTAAGGAGGAGTCCGCAGCTGTTAGAAACCACTAAACCCAATACTCTCTTCCTCGGAAGAGACCTCAACTTACAGCCCTTTTTGAGAGGATCTGTGGGGTCTCACTGCCAGCAACCTAGCACCTGCTGTGCCCACAGCCTCCACTTCCTTTTTCTTGGCATTCTGTGCATACCTACCTCGACTACAGCATTTATCACATTAAATGTGTTTTAAACCAAGAGCCACCCTTGAGACATCTCCATACACAGGGATGAGAAAAAAACTTGTGGTTAATACTCTTAGCTACTAACTGAAAGGTCAGCAGTTTGAGTCCACCCAGAGGTGCCTTGGAGCCCTGGTGGCGCAGTGGTTAAGAGCTTG